ACATTTTGAGTCGAAACAAAAAATAATGGAGTAAGCGCAGAAAGAAAAGGAAAGAAAACTCACTTCTTCTTTAAGCTTGAATATCCTCAGATTTAGGTGCACAGAATTCTTTAATAGCAGTTAGATACTGTCTAAATTTATCACGAATAGAATCTGTGTACCTCCATCGCCACATGAATTCGGCGAAATACGAATCGAAAATGGCGTCTTTGGTACCGGACTGGCGGTGACATATTTTTCTTAAGTCCCTTTTTATGACTGCCCAAATAGCTTCGATCTTATTGACCAGAAGCAAAAGTATATCCGGTATCCAGCCGGTATCCAACGTAGAACTAACGAATCTCTGAAATTATATATACCGTTGAACATTTAAAAACAACGCTAAAATCTGAACCAATCAGAATCACGATTGGGTTTCAACATCGCCCAGCTTGGCAATCAGCCGCGATCACAACTTGGCGAGAATCAAGGGGCACCCTCAAGGCACCCTCAAATATAGTCTACCCACTTCTGAAGCTATGTAACCACTTGAATTTGCTGCAGATGGCAATTTAACAAAGGCCATTCACCAGTTTGAAGTTAGTTTACCTTTACGAAATAAATCAATGCTAGCACCCGTTTCTTTTAGAATATAATTAAGACAGCAGTATCAAAAATACCAACTTTAAATAAACCCGTAACTGCTTTAGCAATATCAGCAAGACTCGTTTCTGCTTTATGCATTTAAGTTTTTTATTTCCAAATTTAGCGTTTTGAAATATCTGACAGAGATATGAATAGTCCTGTATTAAAATCAAACCATCATAACTATTTCATCATCACTTTTTTCATGATACTATCTGACTTCACTTGTACTTTTTTCAATCTCACAATATGTATAAAATACATAATTACGAACTAATAAAAATTTCTTTAGTTTTTAAAACCATCTAGAAAACAAAATTTTTTTTTTGCTCTAGTGGGAGAAAATTTTGCGTTTCAAGAACTTCGGAATTTGTTTGCTGAAATATTAGAAATTAATAATAAATACAAATTGCTTAAAATTTTAGGCTTCTATTTGAGTAATAATATACAATTTTAATCATCTGTTATGGCTGATTGTGGTTATTATGGTTTTATCATGGTTTCGTGATTAAAGTTGTAACTCTGATCTTAATCATCTATTGCGGTTACTCTGGATTATTGATGCGGTTTTAAGTTAAAGTTAAAGATGAGTGTGAAAAGGGCCGACAACGGTCCTTTTCACACCCTTATATATCCTTATATATCACGACCCTTATATATATATATATATATATATATATATATATATATA